AAACTATATCACCTTGTTCATTGCTCCCTTCTGGAAAGTTTCGTCACATGGTTTCTCAATACAATATACTCTTGGCTTGTTTTCTCCTTCACTGGCTATGCTTAAATTTTTCTTCATCTCCCTAAGTTCAAAATTTAAGAGCATTTTGGGGCCCTCAGACTGAGAGACTAACAAGTAACATGATTCATTTTGTCCTCCTCTCCCAACCCCCCAAACAAGCATAAAACCTGAACAGAAGGTCCTGGAGAGTAAATGGAAGCACACAGAACTCTGATGGAACTCCATGCTTACTCACAGTAAGATAGAAACTATCCAGTGCAAGTAAATTGCCGTCTTATTAGAGTTTAGCGCAAGGCTAACTGCAGTCTGCTTGGTTTAGAAACAGTAGCAAAGGTACCCCTGGCAAACTGAATCTAGGGTACCTTAGCCACTGAGAGAGCAGGAGGAACCCAGAGGGAAGGAGAGAAGAGCTCTCTAACTCTGAACTGGTCATACAAGAAACAGATTCAAAACATTTTGCTGAAAAGGTCTAATCTGAGACTACAGATATTGATATCTCTGCTCAAGAAACACAGCTTGAAGTTAAAGAAACTAGGAAAATTAATGCTAAAATTAATTACTAAGATAATCACTTATGAAGAAAAATAACCAAATCCAGAAACTCTACAACTTAATCTTTATAATGTCCAGGGTACAATCCAAAATCAACCAGCATATGAAGGACAAAGGAAATAGAATATTTTTCTTCTCCATAGGCGAAAATAGCTATTATCATTCTCCTCCATGATGATTAAAAAAAAGTAAGAAGAAAATTCTTCTCAAGGAATCAGAGATATTAATTACCCTAGCAGAGAAATAGAAACAAAAAAGTTTTAACTGATTAAGCCAGAAGATATCAATCAGTGGGTGAAAAACTGCATGATATTCAGAGTCTCAAAGTGGCATTCCGTAGATTACTCAATATTTGTAAACAGAAAAAGGTACCTTTGTAATAGAGAACATTTAAATCAAGTTCTAGAACTCAGCATTGGCAGTAAAGAGACGAATATAAATATGATACAATGTATTATTACTACATTGTTGTATTACCATTTTTCTATAGGTTTGGAACAGAAAAAGTTGGAGAAGAAAGTGTAAATACAGTATTATGAAAATGTATAAAACACACACACACACACAAATGCTAAAAGAAAGATTATTAGGGAAGGGTAGAATTAACGTAGTCCTGGAATCTCTTCAATTCTTTTGCCAGGAAGAAACGAAAGGAGAGGGAAAGTGACAGACTTGAATCTGCTGTTGATGCTGGTTACCTGGTCCACTCAACAGACGAATCACTTCTGTTAGAAGGAAAGTCCTTATCTAAAGAACGCTCTTAGCAGGATGTCCCTTGTTAAGGGTGCTCACAATAAACAAACAGAGACGCTGTGGATTTGCGTGCCATGGCTCACTAGAAAATCTACCCAACCTCGAGTGGCAGATGACCAAGTTTCAAAATGTAAATGCTCCCCGCTGCGAGGTAAGCATCAGGATTTTCTCAGCTGGAGAATCCCCAGAAATGACAGGTGTGACGTGGAAAGGAAGGATCTGTGGAACCATCGAGAGCTCCAGCTCGCTCTGTCCCTGCTCCACCTGTGCCTTCTCATTGCCTGTACCCCTGACATTAACAGTAAACCTGGATTCTAGACAAGACTTCAACACGAGTCTGATTTGGTAATATTCCTCTTCCTGGCTCAGAAACAGAAGGTAAAACTTTCAAAAGTAATTCTAGTCCATTACTTTGGTAGAATAAATGAACTAAATGTTAATTTGGCACAGCTAATTTATATAGTACTATACACTTATAGGAGACATCTTTTACCCTATGAAGAAATTTTTCTAGGTATTCACAGGAAAAAAACTTACCCAAATCAGAATATGTGAACTTATAGGAAAAAACCTCTAATTTTTAAAAGGCATATTTAATCAGATATATCACAAAATTCTAAATGATACATGATAAACCTCTCACCCAAAGGGGGCCATGCAGCTTAGAATACTTTTGAACATGTCCTCTGAAATAGGATTCTCCCAATTTTACAGAGTTGTGGTGAGGTCCAAATGATATGATATAGTTACTAGGTTATTGTGATGAAATATCATTTTACTTGAATTGACACGATACCTCTACAAATTACAATATTTTCCCACCATCACATATGACAACTACTTAGAAACATGCCATTAAGAAGCAGGAAGGTGATCTTAACTGCTGACGTCTGCTCAACAGAAGGTTTTAATAATAGACCTGATCATGTAAAAATAGGAAAAGATGAAACAAAAGGGCAGTGTTTTAAAATAGAAGGAAAGGGCAGCAGGGAGGGCTCACCGAATATACAAATTTTTAAAAGAGTATTTAGTATAAAAGAAGTTAAGGTCTCAGAGAGGAAGAGATAAAAAAAAAATAGGTAACTGTATATACTTAGGTGTGAGAAATTAAAAGATCTGAAAATAACGTTGCATATCCTTGGGCCTTTTTCCCTAAAGGGCAAGTTATCATGTTTATTAAAGTAGCTCATCCAATCTCAAGGAGAGTGAATTAGTATATTCTTGCAAGTTCTCATTTTCACTCAAGCAGTACAGTAACGTAGCTAACATTAATTCTAGATTCTACCACTTAACAACCATTTGAGGGCAAGCTGTCCAATTTCTCCAAGCTTCAGTTTCATACTCTGTAAGACAGGAATTTAAAAATGGTATGTATCTTGTGAGATACTATGTAAAAAAACACATAATACCCTGCCTAGAACATAGTAAATGTTCAGTAAAAGCTAGTTATAATTTTTATAATTGAGGAAAGGAATTCTTGCACCTTCTGAATAATTAGAGTGTATGCTTTAATTTTAGTTTCTTTTTTTTTTTTTTTTTTTGAGACGGAGCCTCAAGCTATCCCCCTGGTAGAGTGCCATGGCATCACGCTCACAGCAACCTCCAACTCCTGGGCTCAAGCGAGTCTCCTGCCTCAGCCTCCTAAGTGGCTGGGACTACAGGCGCCGGCCACAACGCCTGGCCATTTTTTGGTTGCAGCCATCATTGTTGTTTGGCGGGCCCGGGCTGGGGATTCGAAACCCGCCACCTTAGGTGTATGCGGCTGGTGCCTTAGCCCCTTGAGCCACAGGCGCCAAGCCTGTATGCTTTAATTTTACCATCTACTTCTCTAGCTAAATAACAGTGATCTGAGATTGGACTATATATAAAATAAACTTTACAAATTCAAGGATTATATAGGCTACACATTTTGGCTTTCTATGACATAACAATTCCATAGGGGTCTTACATAATCCAGGAGAAAATAGAAAACACAATAAACTATGATAGTGAGACAGTAGTTTTATTAACCTATGAACTTCGCTATTAGGTCTGATTTTCTTTTACTGATGAAATCTAAGAATCATAGAAAACAAGCTTTACATATAGAACAAACAGGACAACTTTTGTTTCAAATTAAATCAAATTCATTTTGAGGAATTACAAAAGAGAAGTATTATAAAGACGATGTTTGTTCTCGAACTCTTCATGTTCATATACTGCATATGTGCTTATTATACATACATTGCATTCTTTCCATGGTAAAATAAAATCAGCAATTACATAGTAGCTCAAAGCCTCTGAATAATTTAGGAGTACAAAAATGACTAAAAGAAATTATAGGGAAAAGTTTAGGTAGGCAATGTAATTTAGTAAGGACCTGGGTTAAGAGAAAGTGAAAGAGAGAAATCAGAATTTTCTATATATTAATGCTATCCTGAAAGCAAAAAACTCTATAGATTTTATTTCTAATAGAAATATAGCCAAAAAAAAGGTACATGAGAAACCCTTAATGATCTCTAAGTCTAAGCAACAGATTCATTTGGAATCAAATACAATATTTTCTTTTATTTTTCTGAATGATGGGATAAAAAAGGGGATTTTGAGAATGAAAAGATACCGAATACATTCCATAAATTTTGCAGTCCTTGGGGTAGGAGAGAGGAACATACACATACACAAAAATATATACCTCCTATGGAAAAGTCATTTCCTATATCTGTTTTTATTCAGATTAACTGGGATCATCCTGTTTTAGTAAATACTTTACCATCCCTTTGAAAGGAAGAAAGGGTGAGCTTTGGTAACTTAATTCAATTAAAATACTGTGAGAGAATTCTCTTGCTATTTTATCTAACTCAAAACTTGAAAGTTATACCAAGACATAATAGCCAAACATGCATGCAAAAAGATCCTGCAATTAAGATAATTGCTAGTACCAAATGCTGTTTTTAAGTTCTACAATAAAACAGTCTCCCAGACATTTAATGGTATGTCATTTGGTAAATGAAAGTTTCCACAAAGTCAGAGCAGCAAGAAGACCTAAAAATTAGGCCAGTAAAGAGTCTGGCTGAAAAAAACAAAAATATGGATCATGTTGGTCCAACACTAATTTTATTTGAAGTTACTACAGAACTGAATAAAATGCTGACACCACTACATAAAAATTTATTGAGTTGGCAATGGGCAAAGCATGATGTCAGCCACAAATAGCACCATCCACATTCCCAAATAGTATGAACACTTTAATTCTTGAACTGACTTCATGCCTAAAGTTACAGTAAAAATAAAATCTTAGGCATGAGGCATCATTAAACACAGATAAGTTTAGTTTGGCAAAATTTTGACTCAAATTAACCTAGCACTTTAACAATTTTAGTTAAAAACATGGAAAAATGCAAGCTTAAACATATTACAAGTTTCTAAATGTGCTACATTCTTCACCAAACAGACTCATACAAAACAAGTCTTAGGCAACTCTTGGTACTAGTCAACACACAAGAAAAGCAGGCTAAGAGGACTAACACAGAAAGATGTACATCAGAGGTTCTCAACCTGTGGGTCGTGACTCACAGGAACTGTATTAAAGGGTCACAGCATTAGGACGGCCGAGAACCGCTGATGTACATAATTATGCCCACTTAGTCTCTCTCTACCTTCATGGCATGGATCTCTTCAAGTAATCGTTGTGCTCGTCTTTGGTTTTTTAACAGTGCATCTTCAGTACCCCTGCAAAAAACAATACATTATAATACGTAGCAAGGCAAAGCACTGATTGTAGATTCATATAACAAAAAGTCTCTTCATTTCTTTGAGAAAAGCACCATTATGCATTGCCCTTTCCCCCCACCCCCGCCATGTACACTCCAATTTCATAAACAAACCGAAGTGCTGGAAATGGACAAAAATAAGCGCTGTCCTGGCATTATGTGAACGATTATTACCATTGATAGTTTGCCTTCCTTAGTTCCTTAATGGGAAGGCTGATGATACTTTTCATCAGTCAGTAGCATATTGTATTTAATGTAATAGGAATGTCATAAGCTACAATTAAAGGTTGGATATATTTTATCAAATGAAAGTTTGTTCTCGAACTATAAAATACTTTTTCACTAACACTAGTGATGCTGAAAATACAAAATTTTTACTATTATTGGTAATAGTAAACAGAGTCTTATGAGGCTCTGTTTTCCCACAAATTACACAGAATGTAATCTTCTGATAAATACAGATGGTACTGAAGATTTCAAATTATTTAGCAAATTCAAGGGGAAAGAAAGTGATAAAAAATTTTGATAACTGATTCAAGGTTTGTTAAACTGTATCACATCTTAAAATAACTTCTAAATAACATAAAACGCCTAACCCCAAGGGAATTTCACTGAAATGACTAAAAGCAGAAGAATTCCTTGCGCATCTTAAGTGATTAGGGTCCAAAGCATACCAGGACACGCTGACACAGCCCATTCTATTCACTCAGATCATCTCTACATACAAAACAAAGTGCTGTATGAGTAAGACATTCAATTACCACTCTATATTCCACCCTCAAATTTTGTAAAATGTTAGAAAAAAACAACTTTTGACATTTTATTAGTCACAAGAGTTATTTTAAATGACTAACTTTTTTGACTTCAGTCTGCTAACACTTCTGACAAGTTTTCGGATAACCAAAACTCGTATCCTCTTCACTTCTTTTCTCATCTTCACCACCTTTAAAGAATAAAGCCAAAATTAGAAAAGCACTTAATTCAGATACAGATATACGTTATTTTGAATCTTACCATTATAGACTTACTCTACCACTTTAAGTTTTTGTTTAACTGTATTTATAGTTTGATAACATCAAAATTTCTTGTATAAACAATGAACAAATTAATAGTCTAAAAAGAAAGCTGAGGGCTTAAGAGAAAGAAGTTATGATTTCTTGAAAAGTCACAGCATTCCCAATGATTAACATTTTAATGTTATAGTTAACATCCTGCTGAGCTTGGAACATGAATTGTTAGTTCCTTAAGATCAGTGACTATCATATTTCATCTCTGTATTCCTGAGGGTTTAAACAGAGCCTCATAAGACACACCAATAATAGTAAAAATTTAATTTACCGAATGAATATTTGATTTAACAACCAAAAAATGCGTGAACACAAATTATTTTACCTATTCATAAAGCAACCCTTTGCATTATGTTTTAGTAATAAATTATTTCAAGGATACCTTTAAAAGAAAACTCTATAAACAGGACATACTATGTACGAACACAAGTGCATGTGCATTTACAGGGGAGTGGGCAGGCACACACACACACAGACATTTTAAATTACCCCATAAGAGAACAATGCTGAACTCTAAGAACAAATAATGGAACTATAGGTCAATACGTGGAAATATGTTAAGTACAAAGAACTGTATGTTACCATAGTGGGCAGTAGAAATGGCATGTCATCACCGAGTTTAGGTTTTGTCTAACATGGTTGGGAGTCATACATCCTGTAACTCCCCCTGGAAGGTCCTTCTTCCTCTTTTCTATTGTAGGAGGTACATAAAATTCGGTTCTGATGTAGTCTTTCCAGTGAATCTTCAATGACTTCTTCAGTTAGAGATAATCACTCCATCCCTGGGGTCCCCTCTACACTTTCTAGGTGTTGACAGTAAAGCCCCTTGTCACTCTTTGCTCAGGTGGCTGTCGTCTTCTAGACTGTGAGCTCCTAAAGAACAGGATCCTCACAATATGTAGTGTTTTCTGGGCCTTTTAAGAGTGCCTGGCACACACAGTCCTCAAATTCCTCTTGCCAAAATAACACTATCCACATCATCCTTTATGTTACTTATCAGCTGAGAGTCATCATCTTCACACCACTATCAATGTAAATTCTCTTCTGGGTTTCTTTCTTCCTTTCGTTGTCTTCTTTGAATCAACCCAGCCATGAAATGTTACAGTTCAAGGAGCAATTGTAGGCCTATGCTTCTTTTCACAGTATACTTTTTAGTTTAACAGTTTAACTCTTTGCCACCTAAACAAAGACACAAAAATTTTGCCTTCATCTGAGGCCTTACCTTTTAGCTCCAGAACTAAATGTGCAACTGCCTGACATTTCTTTTTGAGTGTACTCAAAATCACCTGAAATTCATACTTGAACTCATCATGTTCTACACCTCCTATTAGATTCCCCTCCACCTTTTCTTGGGGTTTTCTATTTCAAGGAATGGAATTATCCTATTAGTTACAAAACCTCGGGGCCATATACACAGGTCTCCTAAATCTCTATGGATCTATAACTAAGACCTATTAATTTTATCTACTAATTATCTTTTAAAGCATGTACTTTTCCCCTATCTTAACCTTTTAGCAATCTTGGCTGAGTTACTGTTAACTAGTTTCTTTATACCTAGTCTTGCCCCTCTCCAATCACTTACCACAATGCAGTCAGATTAAATTTTTCTACTGCTTACCTGATGCCACACCTTTACATAACTCTCCTACTGCTCTTAGGATGGCCACATGAGTATTCACGTCATCCTTCCTGCTAACCGTGCTCATATCTCCCATGAAGTCTTTACAGCTGCCGTTCCCTTTACAGGGAATACTTTTTCTTCCCATTTTAGCTTATTAACATCTGTTCATCTTAATTTAGGATCAACTGTCATTTCAAGGAAAGTCTTTTCTGGCTTCCCGAAGAGGGTTGCAAATTCCCCACTAAAAGCAATTAAAAGTACCCACGGGTGGCGCCTGTGGCTCAAAGGAGTAGGGTGCCGGCCCCATATGCCAGAGATGGTGGGTTCAAACCCAGCCTTGGCCAAAAAAAAAAAAAGTACCCAGTACCTCTGGAACTTATCATGACCCTTAATTTTTTACTTTTGTTATGTTTAACGTGTCTTTATCCTAGTGGTTTTCCTCAACATTGCATCTTAACCTCTAATACAGTACCTAGCACGCAGTCAATATTCATAAAGCAAATGACTAGAGATTTGGGAATCTGCACTGTTAAATTCGCTGATTGCATAATATACCAAATGAATGCAGAATAATCAAGCTTCTTTCCCACTGTATATGTTAACCTCTTTGAAATCTGTTTCAAAGTTCGATCAATTTGGAAAAAAAATCATACTTGGCATAAATGAAAAATCATTTAGACAAGGTTTAAGTGGAAAAAAAAAAAAGAACTGTTATAGTTCATAAGCAGAATTATAGGAAGGGGTCATGACACACTTTTTTTTAAAAGTCATTCATAAAATACATAAATAGAGAGCAGTAAAGTATGCATTAAAATGTACTAACAAATGTTTCTAATTGCTGAACTTGATAGGAGGGTGAGATGATAATATGCCATTTGCTAACTAGTGTTAACCAAACTTGCTAATAAATTACAATGGGCAGAGCGGGTCCTTGGTTACATTCCGCACATGGGAAAGCTAGTCTCCAATTTTAAAATTCCAATTTAACAAGTACTATGTTTGTCATTAGTGGATAAGGGAATTCTAAAAGCAAATGGAACGCATCATGTACTTAGTTTCATGCCAGTACCAAAACATGCTTTTCTAGTTTACTAATTTCAGTATCTGTGTTCAGGTAGGAGAAAAACTGGAAAAGTTTAGTGTATAAAAAGTCCATATATAGTCAATTTACATTAAAATGGAATTAAAATTTTATTTTTCTCATAACTGTCCACATCAAGGACTTAGCTTTTCTTAAAACATTTAGAACTACTTTTTGTAAAATTGATGACTAATAGCTTTTCTGTTAGGATTTACAAGGTTGAAAATTCATTTGTCATACAGAACTATAAAGTGGCTTGACAGACAACCCAGAAATCAACAGACAGGCCTAAAACACCCAATACTGCCAGAAGACCAATGTATTAGCAATACACTTTGGGAAATCAAATCCTCCAATCAAAAGCACGTGCAACTATAAATGTCAAAACTGTGAACACGGTGTTACTGTTTGGGAGGGAAAGAAGAGGAATAATGTGAGCAAGGAGAATACAGAGGTATAATAATGGAAATGAAATAAGCCGACAGAGAAGAGAGTGAAAGAGGAGGAGGAACAAAAACTGAAGGGAAATTCTGCAAGCCCAGGGCTTCCAAATAGCACCCAAATACATTTCAGACAATGCCTAAGATCAGAAGTGAATGAGTTAGGGCTTATACACACAGAGAACACACGTGTGCTGACAGTGAGCTGTCACCTAGAATTAAGGTACACGGATGTCCTCAGAAGTAACCTGGTAAAATCTGAATGTAGGATACCTATTGGGTAGACAGCAGAAAAATATCACAAGTAAAGTGGAAATCAAATGGAGCCGTATGGGAAAAGTCTATGTGAACAGACTGGGAAAAGTCAACATAAGTAAAGGAAAGGGAACCACAGAGAGGAAAAGCTGGCTCTGTCCAGCTCAAGGAAATTCCAAATAAAGGGTCCCCAGCTCACAGACTTGAGAAATCCAACATGTTCTGGCATAACTTGATGATAGGATAGATGTATCATGGCCAACCATGAAATCATGCAAGTGAAACCCTTTCTATAGTTCTACATTCTAAGCAGCTGATGACCAGCGTGTAGAGAAAGCATGTGTCTACGACATGAGCGTTACTATCTATGCTGGATATTATTTCTTAAGAAACTAGCTTCCTCATTTACACACTCTCTTAAGCTTATTTTTAATGTGAATTTGCTTTTTGAGAGAATGAGCTTTGGGGGTGACAATGACAGTAATGATAGCAAGTTTCTGGGGTACAAAGCTGATGGAAGACTGTTCTGTAGACAAAATTAGATGCTACTTTGAAGAGATTCTTATCTGTCTACTAGGCTGGTCATCTAATGAGCCCTGATGGGTAATGAACTGACTTTGCCATGTGTTTGAATAGCCTGTAATAAAAATCCGTGGTTATTAGAAAACATTATTCCACAAGCTAGTATTGTTCTAGGACAGTGGTTCTCACCCTTCCTAATGCTGCAATGTATTTTCATTGTTAAAAAGGGGTCGTGACCCACAGTTTGAAAATCGCTGTTCTAGGAGAACTTGCAGTGCTAAGAAAAATCTAAGTATATCTGTGTTTCTAAGAATATGTTATAACTCTGGTTATTCATTACTTACCTATCAGATTAGAAAATAATAATTGAAAAAAAGGACAGCACATTCTGTTCAGAAGAAGGCTGTGAGGAAATAGGTACTTCCATTTATTGCTGGTACAAATGCATATTGGTATACAACTCTGGAAGAAACTTTGGCAAAATCCTGCTTCTAAGAATCCATTCAGAAGTCACACTCTCAACAGGAAAAAGCTATCCATAAGATTATTCATTGCAGCATTGTTACCAAATGTTGCATGAGAGATGGAATATTGTACATAAATAAGGCATACGGCAATGTGGTATTTTAAATCAATGCAGGAGATGTGCATGTATTAACATGGACAAACTCTGAAAATAACATTTTAGTTAAAAAAAAAAAAAGGTAAAAAGGTCTCTCCTTTTTTTTTTTTAGAACCCTACCCACATCCTCCTAGTAGTCTTCCCTTAACTGCAGTTTCATTCTCAGTGGTCACAGTCACCCACAGTCAATTGTGATCCAAAAATATTAAATAGAAAACTCCAGAAATTAAATTAATAATTTAAATGTTAAATTTTGAGCCAATCTGAGTAACATGACAAAATCTCACATTATTCCACTTCATCTCACTCGGGTTGTGAATTACCCCTTTGTCCGG